ATATATATTTAGCTAATTATGCATTTTAACACCATTGTGTACAAGATAAAACAGTAACAGTTAAAACACTATAATCATGTATTGTTCATCCTTAAATTATGTGACCTTTGCACATCACATGATCATCACATGACTTAAAAGATGTACATGTACAACAAGAATTGTGAATGAGAATTAAAACAACAAACTTATCACATGCATATTATCATATATTGAAGAGGTGACCATAATATTACATTTTTATCTCGTATAAAATTGGCAAAATGCATGAATCCTTAATTAATGCAGTTTGCCATTATTTGTTTCAATAAATATATTAACACGCTATCTTTATATCGCTACACCATAAATTTCTATGTATCAAACAAACAACAATTCATTTGACATTTGGGAACAGATTGTGCTTCATAAATGGTGGCATTGCTTTAGGTGAGTTCTAGAGCACTTCCAAATGGCCTTTTTACTATAAAAGTGAACGAATCTAAATCCGTATGCATATCCAGTCTCAACTCTTAAAGTTTGTCAAAAGGTAATAAATGAATAAATAAATAAATAATTAAATAAAAACTCATCCCCTCAATTGCTTCCCACATTATCCTGGTTATAATCTACAACGCTCATGTCTGGATCAGTTCAAGACGCAATATTTTACAAACATTTACATTTGATACCCACTACAATATTCTTATGAAGGATTTTGCATGTTAGTTCTATAGAGTTGTAATGCACGAAACTTGGACGTCTTTCATGTTAACATTTTTGATAACCTCTGACATCATGTGCCTTGGTTTACACACATAAAACTGTGATCCTCCCCCCCTCCCCCAAGTTCCTTCCATTATTATCATTAGCATTAACATCACACACATTCTGATCTAAATATTGAGTTTTAACAAGCATTCGGGTATTAAATTGATCAGAATTTACGATGGCTGACCGAGGTATAGTGATAGTAAGGCAAATCACAACCAGTCTTCAATTCAGCATGTTTACATACTGTGACTATTAATGGAAGATTCCTTTCAGCAGTATTTAAAGATGTACAGAGATTGTGATAACATTAAATGTGTTCTCAAGCAGTAAACTATTGCACAATACTGATAAGATGTCTATTTTTTATGTCTACATGACAGGTTATCAACCAACCACTTTGTCTTTCCTGTCAGTTTAATAAAGATTTTTATATACCGGTACGTCCCTATTTCTTTGACTGAAGTCTTTGCTCTTCAAGATCAGACTTAAGCCTGCCATGATCTCCTTTTTCCTGTGTCTGTGACTATGTTACTTCTTACTTTCTTTTTTTCCAACATGTGCCTTTCAGTTTTTTTTTCTGTCATTTTCACTAAGATCATTTGACTGGATGCCTTTTATGGCAATATCACAGGGTGTCCACTTACCTCTCCATTTTGACTTGGTATCCATTTTTCCATCAATTTGATTCGTGTCCATTTCTGGCATTTTGACTGAATGAATTTTGACTGACTGTCTGACTATCACCTGTCTGTGTGACAGGTGTCTACTGTACTGCTACATGGTAATTTTGATTAATAGCTCATGTGTCTGGTTTTTTCCTTGTTCCTCTCGGCTTAATGGACTCTGAAAGCTGCCACTGCGCCTCTTCGCTCAAGTAGTCATCAAAGTTGTTGAAGAAACCAATGATCTTGGGATTCTTTTTGAATCCATAATTACTGAAAAAAAAAATCATAAAACATGATCGTCTGACAGCTTAGATTAGATTAATTTGAAGACAATATTTAATTTTTCAATGTTTATTGAAGAAACATTACAACCCTTCTTTATTTTCATATTTTCTTCAATAACTTTGATATTTTGACTGTTAACTGAAGAAAAAAAGCAAATAACCTTGACACAACTGACGATATTCTTTACTGATGAAGAATAGACAGACTGGGGGGGGGGGGCAGGGGGGGGGGAGAGGGTTGTCTTGATACAACTTCAAGTTCAAAAGCCAAGTACTCATTAAATACATACCACTTTTTGAACCTCTTCATATTGTCAAGGATGTTAAACTGCTGCCACCTTTTGGCAAAGTTGATGCTGCCCTCTGGGAGGTTGTTTGGATTGCCAATGTGAACAAAGGTAAGATCTTGAAGAATAAGACCTCTGGAAAAGTAACAGTTGAGAAAATGCATTTATGAATTGTTTAGATTGTTAGGATATAATATATATGATACCATTCCTTTGGTAATTTTACTCATTGTTACGAATTTAAAAACCAAAGTAATGGTCTTACAGGTATTTCAGGGAGAAGATAAATTGTATTTTACTGTTAATAATATATTCTAATTATCTAGAAGTTCTATGCATCAAAGGCCAATTCACTCACATGTAAGGGATGCAGGGAGGCTCAGTCTCTGCAAGGGCCTGCCTGTACGCTTTGAATGAGGACGAGCTATCAATCAGTTCACAAAATTCCTTCAGGGCGTCCATGTTTTGTCGCTGCCATTCCAGCCGTCTGATTGGAGCAGAATCCACAGCTGAGAGGAGGGCCAGGTAAGAGTTGAAGTTGTTATATTTTCTCAGATACTGAAAAGATATCAAACATTTTTAATATTGACAGAAGTCACATCTATCTTCTCCATTTTTAATGTTTAAACATTCCATTTCTATCTCTTAGTCTACATCCAAGATTGGGAAAGTCACTTCATGTTCAAACTGTATAATTAACATTCTTAGACTACTTATATCCTACAAATAATAATGGCCTCCAAGCCTCTCTAGATTATTTTTATCTGTATCTTGATCTACTTCTTTATTTTCCTAATTTATCAACAATAATGAGAGAATATGGCTTTTGATTACATGCATTTTTCTCATTTCTGAAATTCTTTCAAAATACTCTAAAATATAATTCTCCCTTACCTTCATAATTTTGATGAACTTGATAAAATATCTCTCTCTCTCTCTGGGGTCCTCCTGTTTCAGTATCAGAGACCTACACCAGTATGACATCTTGTTGAAATGTTCTGTGAACTCCGTAAGATTGGGACAACTTTCCTCAGACTGCTCTCTGGACCATCTTAACATCTCTGGGATCTGAAGAGAGGGAGGTAACAGAATAATAATAATTCTTTTTAAAGTTGCACTTCACATGTGCCTTACATAAAACCATACAGAGATAAAGAACTTCAGATCCGAATAAAAAGTTGATGTTATCATAATAGCACATTTTACATCCTATAAAAATGTTTCACAAATAAAAACATTTCAGTCCCAGATAGAGAACACTATAGAACTCTATAACACAAAGTCATCTGGGTTGGTTAGCACTACCATATAGCCTGTTCTTAGGCTTCTTCTGGATAACACTGCACAGTCAGGTTAAAATTCTTCTTGCGCATTTAATAAAATAGAATCCTTTACTGTATTTAATCACTGCTATGTCTTCACCCCCC